GAGGGTGGAGGGACGGCGCAGGAGAGGAAGGCCCTCTATGAGGTGGATTGATTCAGTGACTGGGATAATTGGAATGGGAATGTCAGAGACAGTGCGATTGGCACAGGACAGAGCAGAGTTTAGGGCTGTTGTAGGGTGATAGGGTCGCTATGAGTCGCAGGCGACTCGACGGCACATAACAACAACAACAACAACAACATTGTTAATAACACAGCAATAAACCTGAGTGTGAATGTATCTGTTTGGTTTTGGTTTCTTTAGGGTATATTCCTAGTAGTGGAATTGCTGCATCAAATGGTATTTCTATTTCCACTTTTTGAGAAAGCGCCAGACCACTTTCCATAATGGTTGCACCGTTTTACACTCCCAACAGTAGTGAATAAGGGTTCCAATCTCTCCACAACTTCACCAGCATTCTTTGTTTGTTGCTCTGTTTAACTTTGCTATTGTTGCGGGGAGGGGGTGAGTTTTAAAGTAATCACTTTTTTAGAAAATATTTTTTTTCCAGTTGGACTTTTTAAAAGTTGGACTAGATATTTTGACATAGTATTTCGTGGTGCTGGCTTCTGAACTAGGTTTTGTTTTTGATAAAAATATACAGTACAAAACATATACCAGACCAGTTCAAGGGAGCTCTGGTAGCCTGCCTAATGGTAGGAAGCTGCACTGAAATCCCAAAGGTGTGAGGTTTGAATCCACCAGATACCCCACTAGAGAAGGAGGGGCAATCTCCTCCTGTACCAGTTGGATCTGATTTGATGGCACACAATAAGTAAAAAAACAAACAAACAAAACCCCTGAAAATAGATGAGTTCAACTCAGTGACATGGGTTGCCTCCTTCAAGTGTGCCACCTTCCTTAATATCATTCTCCAAATGATCTCGTTGCCATTAGCATAAGCTCACCACCCTCTAAGCTGCTCATCTAAGCTTAACCTCGTAAGTTGCTGTTGTCCACATGACCACATATAGAGACACTTTTTAAAAGCATCATTTAGAAAGTAAGCATTTTTTTAGTAATTAAGCTAAACTATTATTTGATTTAAGTATGAGTTCAAGGATAAATTATGTTTAAAAATTTCCTCTTAATAATAGTTGAGGGGGAGGGTATTTATCGAGACTCAGTGACTCCAGAAAGCCTGAAGTCCCTGAGAATTTGAAATTCTGAATTTTCACCCCTTTTGATCAGGATTCTCCTACAGAATCTTTTATTTAGAACCAGTGTTTGAACCATATGAGGAAATTGTGGACCATCGAGTTGGAACCGACCCATAGCTGACCCTTCAGTGGGTTTTCCAAGGAAGTTAATTGCTCCTAAAGAGATTGCCCATCTTTCTCCCTTAGAGGAGCTGGTGGATTCAAACTGTGTGCCTTCAGGATTACAGCCCAGCTTCTTACCAGTAGACTATCAAAGTAAATTAGTATCAATTTATTTCTGTCTCACGGTATATTGGTATTAAACAGAATTGAGTTTGCATCCTGGCTTTGGTGATTATATTAACTTTGCAACCTTGAACCAGTCACCTAGCTTCTCTAAACTTTGATTTCCTCATTGATCACATGGGTATAAAAAGTTCCTATCTTAGAGCATTATTTTGAACTTTAAAGGAAGAACTCATATAAAAGATCTAGCATAATACTTAATCCACAGTTGTTTATGCTTCTTGTTGTTATGTGCCATTATGAGTCACATATGTCACGTATGACCCATGGTGACCCCTATGAACAACAGATCTGAACCCTGTCCTATCCTGCACCATTCTCATCTCTGACATACTTGAGCCCATTACTGCTGTCATTGTCAATCCATCTCATTGAGGGTCCACTTCTCTTTTGTTGACCTTCCACCTTTCCTAGCATGATGTCCCTTTCCAAGGAATAGCCCCTTCTAGCAGTGTGCCAAAAATATGCAAGA